AAAATTTGGTTTGCTGACTGGGAATTGAACCTGGGCTGTGGTGAATAGAGCGCCAACTCCTGATCACTAGACCACCAGGGAAGTATTTTTTTTTAAACCTTATTTTGCAAAACAGAAAAGAAATTAGTGTGAAGAGTAGCATTGCAGATCTTTTTAGCGTCTGCATTTGGTTTGTTATGAAGTTGTCTTAGTTTATATATATTGTTTCTTCTACCTGGAATGCCCTTCCTGGTTTTACCTACTCATCCTCAAAACCAGCTCAATATCACTGCCCTTGAAGGCCATCCCCCTTTTCTGTGTACATATATAGAGTTGCTTGTACCTTCTTTTGTGCCCCACTCTGCATTTAATACCTGCTTGCTACATAACTATCTAGGTGTCAGGTCCTTGAGGTCAGTGACAATGTCTTATTCAGTCTTCAGTCATTATTTACTGATACTTCTCTTCCTAGTTTGCTGAATGAGTGAACTATTACTTTTTTATATGCAGTATCACTTCATTTTTTATCCAAACTACTATTCTTTTAGTTGTACCAATTCCATCAGATTTTGTAACTTTTGAAAATTTAAGGGAAACTTTGGGAATATTAGAATCTTGAATTTTCAGTTTGATAACTTTTACTATTTATACATTCAAACATTGTTATATGAATAGTATATAAAATGTGGCTGTGGCTTTATTCCTTTCAGGAAAGGTGCTTTTTTCTTAGTGTAGGAATATGTATATATTTATTTTGGAGTACACACACCTTACTGAGGGGAGTTTCCCAATTATGTAAGGATTATGGGCAACCATAGCTTACTCGGCAGATTTGCCACAAATCAAAAAAGTTTATTTTTTAAAATAGGTTTACGAATTTCTTAAATAAGTGATTGATACCAACAGTTGATAAGTACAGAAATATGTTTAAGTATATGTGTCAAGGAAAATATACATAGTTGGAAATCCATATTGTAACTGTTAGTCTTGTATAGTATAATTTTCATGAGTTGAGTAGCATTTCTTTCTGATTAGAATCTCTCTTTTTATTTTTGCTCAGTTAATGGAGCCTTATGGAGTTATTTCCTCTAAATCTCTATCAGTTTACATCCCAAAAAAATAATGCTCTATCTGTAATTACCATGTGGCAGGGTTCTCAAACTTTTTTTTTTTTTTTTTTTTGAGACAGGGTCTCACTCTGTCACCCAGGCTAGAGTGCAGTGGCACAATCATAGCTCAATATAACCTTGAATTCCTGGGCTCAAGGGATCCTCTGGCCTCAGCCTCCCAAGTACCTAGGACTACAGGTACATGCCACAACACCCAGCTAATTTTTAAATTTTTTTGTAGTGATGGGGTGCTGTGTTGCCCAGGCTGGTCTTTAACTGCTAGGCTCAAGTGATCCACCCACGTTAGCCTCCCAAAGTGGTAGGATTACAGGTGTGAGCCACTGTACCCAGCCTGCCTTTTTTTTTAAATTAGTGACATCCATGGTTTTGCTCTTTTGATTTGTAAGTTACATTAATTTATTAATATTGAAACATTGGGATAAACACTACTTGATATTGGTATACTGCCTAACTTGCTAATATTGTGTTTCACTTAAATGTTCATAATCACAATAATTGCTTTCTCTTTTTGTGAATGTTGTACATTTTGACCAAAAACTGATTATTCAGCTTTTTAAAGAAAAATTCAAAATGATCAAAACATCTTGTATATTCCAAAATCAGAATACACCTATATTGATAGTAATAAGAAAAGATGAAGGCTCCTTATACAGTAAAGGTTTAAACAGAACTTTTTTTCCTCAAGGGATATGATGAAAATTTTGTAATTTGTTAATTCCTTCTCCTTTTATGTATGACTTTTCAGAATTCTCTTACTGTCAATTTTATTTCTTTTTAGGTACGCATAGCTGCTAAATTCATCACTCATGCACCCCCAGGGGAATTTAATGAAGTATTCAATGGTGAGTAAAGATAAGTATTTAGTTATTTTAATCCCTTCTTAATTACTGCCATTTATTGAGTGTTTGCTGTCTCTTTTAATTCTTATGACATGTTACAGCTATAGCTAAAGAAATCAAGATTCAAGGAGATTAAAAGAACTTGTCCAAGGTCACCCATCTACTAAGTGTCAGGATAAAGATTTAAACCCAGGTCTGAGTCAAAAGCAAGCTCTTAATCCATAAATTAAGATGCCTATCTTATTATGAGAAAAGATTTAAGGTAGTTTAATATCAATAAATGTAGAAACAATATTATTTTCATAGTTTTATTTTTATCATTATAAATCATAGCTTAAATTTCTTCAGTGCTTTCACTCAGGAAGTGCAATAGGACACTTTCTAGGACCAGTGGTGCTGAACTGACTGTATCTGGGAAGCTTATTAAATATAGAGATTCAGCTTTATCATTTCCTCAAGATTCTCATTCATTAAATCTGTGGCAGAATTAGGCAGTCTGCATTTTTTTCAAGTTCTTCAGTTTATCAAGGTGATTCTGAATCACAGCCAGTTTGGGAACCACTATTCTAATTCATTTACAACCTTCCATACTATTTGCTGTGTTAGCACAACTTATAAGATAAAAAATATACTGGGAGGCCGAGGTGGGTGGATCGCTCAAGATCAGGAGTTCGAGACCAGCCTGAGCAGGAGTGAGACCCCGTCTCTACTAAAAAATAGAAAGAAATGATCTGGACAACTAAAAAAATATATATATAAAAATTAGCCGGGCATGGTGGCGGGAGGCTGAGGCAGAAGGATCGCTTGAGCCCAGGAGTTTGAGGTTGCTGTGAGCTAGGCTGATGCCACGGCACTCTAGCCCGGGCAACAGAGCAAGACTCTGTCTCAAAAAAAAAAAAAAAAATAGATGGGGCATCCTGAACTTCATGATGAAATCAATCATCATAGTCCTCTTTTTAGTTATTAAATTAATTCATCTTAAAGATCCCTTAAGTAAAATCATGATTTTTGTTGCATCTTGCTTCAGTTTAGCCAAGATATATTTTGAAATTCTGGTTTTATATTAGAAGGTTAACTACTTGAGAGGAACTGTGTGATATTTCTCTGTACCTGGCCCAAAGTCCTACAGGTGGAACCATTAGTAATATTCATTAATAAAATTAATGATGCAGAGAAAAAGTAACTAGGAGAAACATGTAAACATAAACATTTACTTCAAGAAGGAATTTTTTTTTTTTTTGAGACAGGATCTTGCTCTGTTTCCTGGGCTAGACTATAGAGCAGTGGCATCATCATAGCTCGCAGCAACCTCAAACTCCAGGACTCAAGCACTCCTCCTGCCTCAGCTTCTCAAGTAGCTAGGACTACAGACACATGCCGCCATGCTGGCTAATTTTTTTTATATTTTGTAGAGACAGGATCCCACTATATTGCTCAGACTGCTTTCAAACTCCTGGGCTTAAGCAATCCTCCCACCTCGGCCTCCCGAAGTACTAGGATTACAGGTGTGACCACTGCACCTGGCCAAGATATTCTTTATAAAATTGTTTGTGGATTTTGAACACTAACAGCAAGGGAAACAAATGCAGCCTTTCTCTGGTCTTTCTTCCACATTGACCAAATGCAAATTTTCAATAATTGAATTTTTAGAAAATTCTTCTTAAACTTTATAGCTCAGATAAATTCTTGACTTAACAAAATTAATGTCCCTTGTAGTTAGAAGTCCCTTGTTTTGTTTCTAACAACTGAATATACTTTACAGGAGTATCATGAATACCTGGTAGCAAAGCATTGGGTTAGGAATTAGCAAGATACTAGTGGCACGAGGGCTGGGTTTTTTTGGCACACACTGGCCTCTGCGAGGCCCTTCTTTCAGAAGCTCTGAGAGCCTCAAAGCTTATTATAATGGCCTGTGGCTTATAATTAGCCTTCCCTCTTGGAGTTAATGCTTGGTAGTTTCTTAGTAACAAAGGTTGTTTTCTTCCAAAAGAAAAGTGACTAGACTCTTTGACACACACAGCTTTTTAAAAATGTTGTAGACCCTCACATTAGATTCTCCAAAGAAAAATGTGTTCAAGAATTTCATTGCCACCGACTGAATTGTGCCAGATTTCTTGATCTGATGTTGTAGAAGAGCCTGCAATTCTTAATCTAAGCTCATTTTGAAGGATTCATTTAGATACAAAATTAACAGTCCTAACTATAGCCTTCAATCAACTATTTGTTTTGAAATTCCCTGAGAATTTATTGTTGAATTATTATAGTATACATTAATGGCAAATCTATGAATATTAGCATCTGTTCATTTGCATTTTTAGAATTTCTACACATACAGTATACCCAAAGACTAATCTTGCGAAGCCTGAATTTTAAAAATCTAATCTAGAAATCTGCTAAAATTTCTCAAATTTGTCTTCTACTGAACATTTTAATGTTCTTTCCTCCTCAGATGTTCGGCTACTACTTAATAATGACAATCTCCTCAGGGAAGGGGCAGCACAGTAAGTATCTTTCTAAATCCACTTATGATATTATTCTAACATGGATAAACTGTGATGACAGTAAACAAGTATCCTGAAAGCTAAGTTTAAAATACGTCAGAATAGAGCACTTGACATTAGCAGTTTTAGTTGTTTTTTTCTTGGAGAAAACATGTTCCCCCAAAATGTTGTTTACTTCCTCAAAGCTTATTATAGTATATGAAATTATTTGCTTTCGTTTTTGCCCAGATTTGCCCCATTAAAACAGTTTAACATTAGGTTTTCTTTTATAGTTCTTCTAGTTCATGTTGAAATTTTTTTAACTGCTAGTTATAGAAACATTAAGCTGCTATTGAGGAATGATATTGTTTCTCAAATTGCCAAAGGATAGCAGATATTCATAAAGTGCCTTAATAGTGAGAATTAACCAACCATAGGATAAAGGCATGATTAATCCACCTAGTCATTCACTCCTTATCACTGTCAAGCTAATTAATCTTTCTAAAATAACATTTTCATTTTGTCTTTGCCTCAAAAACATTTTAGTGGTGCTTTATTTTTTATCTTCTACAATCAAATCTAAACTCTGTCTACTTTCAAGGCTCCTTGATATCTATCTGGCTTTATCACTACTCTCCTCTACAACACAAAGTTCTGTTTCAGTTACTGTCTATGCAGCTGGCCCAGAGTTCCTATGTGAAGAGGAAACCAGAATTGGATAATGGCTGGTGTGGGATTGGGGATGGGGGGGTGGGAACACGTCCATCCTGCTTTTTTGGAAGCCATTTTGGGACTAAATTCTGTGAAACCTGGAATTTGCACTGTCACTATAATTGTTATCTTGAATGATACCCAAATTATAATACATTAATTTAGGAAAGCTAGACACACATTAAAGATACACTCTAATGCTGATTTCTCTTAGATTCATAGACTTTGTCATAGAAAAGGACATTCATGATTTGCTAGTTCAATCCCTCTCTACCCTTTCTTTTTCATTGAAAGACTCTCATCTACGTCTGTGAGCAGATGGTTATCCAATTTGAAAGCTTCTAGTAATAAGGAATTCACTATCTCACAAGTTCTTCAATTTGTCTGCCATGTTGATCCTAGTTTTATCCTTGAAAGGTACCCAAAATAAATCTGCTGTGTACTTCACTTGATGAGGTACTGCTGAAGGGGGTAGGGGTTAAATGTCACTCAAGCATGATTGTAATCTAAGCCTATTGTCCCATTTCCAGTTAGGACTAAATAGAAGTTGGTATGTAGTTTATATGCTTTAGTTGCTTTAATTGTACTGACACTAAAGCTTTGTATTTATAAATATTCTGGTTCTTATAAACTCTAGGTTCTTGGAGAACCCTCTTGTTAAAGGAGAATTTTCCTGGGCCCAAATACTTGATTTTTCATAGGGATGAAGAGTTCAGTTTTGTATCTGTATTGAAGTGCTTCAGTCCCTTGGCCATAGTCCTCATAGTAAGCGCTCAGTAAATGTTATTTCAGGAATCAACATCGTTATTGCCTTCTGTCTATATAAAATTAAGGAAGCCTGAAAGACCTAGGATTTACGCTCTTTCCTGGATCTCCATCTATGTTTCTGACTACCGTAACCATTCCCTGATGATTCCAGCACTTCTGGAGTAAATAGGGTGTGATAAGTCACATTAAAGAGTGAATTTTATTCTGAGAGACATAGAAAGTTAGTGTTTTGAGCAGAGAATGACATGATGAGACATATTTTAGAATAATCACTGGCTCCTGTGTAGGGGAGGCAAAGGCTATTAAGTTAAGGGATAGATGGTAGAGGTTTAGACTAGAGTGGTAGCAGGTGGGGGTAGTGGGGAGGAGTCAGATTCTGAATAGGCTTCTAAGTAGAGCCTACAAGATTTACTGATGGTTTAGATGTGGAGTGTAAGAGACAGAAAAGCCAAGAATGTCCTCAGGTGTTTAGCTTGAGTAGCTGTTTACTTAAGGTGGAATGAAATGTAAGCACATTTTGGTGTTGGTGTTTGTAAACCACAGTCTCGGGACATACGCTGGAATGAAATATTATTTAATTCCTACTCCTTAAGCTTTTTAAAAAAATTAATTTACTTTCCATGAACAATTAATTTATATTCCTTTCTGAAGAGCTAGTGTATCCGGGGACTCATTCTGTTATGTGGGGATGTGGTATTTTAAGGAAATGATTCATTTAAAAACACAATAAAACTTTTAACAAAATGTGAAGATTGAAAATTAGCCTTAAATATTTGAAGAAGTTTGAGTATTAGTTATTTTGCTTTCTCTTGAAAAGCCTAGGAAAATTTTAACGTTCTGCTGAAAACTAGTGGTCTAGCAGGTATTTCAGCAGGTTAAAACTGGGAATTCTGTGAGAAGACTGATACTTCTCAGTAATGTAAGTGTATTATGCTCTCTCAGTGCAGCTTATTTACATCTTTCACCTTTTACTTTAGCTTACTTTGTAAAATGTATTAGAGAGCCATTGAAAATACAGAATTTTCTGTGGGGCATGGTGGTTCATGCCTGTAATTGCAGCACTTTGGGAGGCTGAGGGGGGAGGATCGCTTGAGGCCAGGAGTTGGAGACCAGCCTAGGCAACATAGCGAGACCCTGTCTCTACAAAAAAAATTTAAAAATTAGCTGGGTGTGGTGGTGTGCTTCTATAGTCCCAGCTCCTTGGGAGGCTGAGGCAGGAAGATCGCTTGAGCCCAGGAGTTCAAGACTGCAGTGCGCTATGATCACACCACTGCATTCCAGCTTGGGCAACAGAGGGAGACCCTGTCTCTTAAAAAAAAAAAAAATACAGATTTAATAAATCAAGCACTGGACAAATAAAGAAATAATAATGTGAGGCATGTACTTTACACATACCCCTTTTTTAAATGACCTGTGCTCTGTGCCTTAGGCTCTACTCTGAGACTTGACTTACGCTCAACTTTCACTTCCCATGTCAAATTGCCTCTGTCATTTAATGATGGTTTTTCCTACCCTGTCCTGCCTCAGAGAGCTGAGAATTAAAAAGTCATTTCCAAAATAATATATGCATTGAAGATTCTTTGAATTACTGAAAATTTGTGCCTAAATGATTAAAGCTGTTGGCAATTCACATTAATCAGATTGCTTTAAAACTTTAGAATTAGCCCGGCGTGGTAGTGTGTGCCTGTAGTCCCAGCTACTCAGGAGGCTCAGACAGGAGGATTGCTTGAGGCCTGGCTAGCATGGCCAACATAGAGAGACCCCCACCTCTAAAACAACAACAACAACAAAAACAAAAAAGAACTTTGGAATTGTCTAAGGTTTTTTGGAGCTTAGGAGTCAACAGGAAAAGGTAATTTCAGAGTTTGAGGAGCTTCTGAGATATCTGCAGAGTGGTCCCTTCAGAAGCTGAAAGGTATTATGTTAACACTGGATGTCTGGGGAGAAAGGGAAAAAGCACCATGTAGTATTCCCTTTCACTGTGCTGTGAACTACCTTTTGTGTTTATTTATACATAATTATTTTCTTTCTTCCCCCTTTTTTTTTTTTTTTAACTTTTTAAAAAACAGTGCATTTGCCCAGTATAACATGGATCAGTTCACTCCTGTGAAGATAGAAGGATATGAAGATCAGGTAATAACTGCCTGTTAGGCTATGCCTGGCAGATCGTAGAGATCTTAGAAACCAAAGCAGATGTCTGAACCAGGTGCTCAATAAATTCATGTCTTAGTTTTCATAGTTTTTGTAAATATCCTACATGTTAGGGAATTCTTCCACTCTATGATAACACTAGTAGTTTCTTTGATAAGAAAGGAGAATGGTCTCCAACAAGAACAGTGAAAATAGAAGGATTTGAGTTTTTACAGGTTTTTCAGCTGTCTCTAATTCTCCTTGATAAGAATAACAGCAGACATCATATTTAATGGAAAAACAGGCATTCCTACTGAAATTTAGACTACTTTAAATTTATACTGCTTATTACTTATTTGATGGTTGGGAGATGGGGTGATAAAAATTCCACTTTATGTATTTTTTCATTTTTGAACCATGTGAATGTATTACCTATTTTAAATGCTAAGTATAATGACTCTGGAAAAATAGGTGAAAAAAAAGAATATAAAAGTTGCAACTATGTTGCAACATAGATCTTATATATTAGAAAGTAACCAAGAAATGATGCGTATTATTAGGATGGGGGAAGTTTTGCAGTTTAAAGTTGACTTACCCATAAATATAATATTCTTTATAGTAATAAAAATGGGATTAGGTTGAAAATCAATATGAAAGAGAAATCTGACTAAATGAAAAGTTAACTGTCTTCCTCAGAATTTTTATTTATGTGTTTATTTTGGAAAATGTGATAAGAACTGTCTTTTTTACAGAGTTACTAATGTTTGTAATTATTCTTTGGAAGGTCTTAATTACAGAGCACGGTGACCTGGGTAATAGCAGATTTTTAGATCCAAGAAACAAACTTTCCTTTAAGTTTGATCACTTACGGAAAGAAGCAAGTGACCCCCAGCCAGAGGAAGTAGATGGAGGTCTGAAGTCTTGGAGAGAATCCTGTGATAGTGCTTTAAGAGCCTATGTGAAAGATCATTATTCCAACGGCTTCTGTACTGTTAAGTGTTTACTTTCTTCATAATTAGAGGGTTTTATTTCTTATATTTTACCTTATCTTTTGGGGGCTTTGACCTGCCAAATATGACTTTTTTCTTCTTTGTTGTGATCTCTGCGTTTTATTTCCTAAATCATTTTTGAAAGGGGTATAAATAAGTGGAAAAATTTATATGAGAAATTCGTTTTTAAAATCCCAGTGCATAAAACATTTAAATCTCAGTGTATTCTATTTCACATTTGTTCTATATACTCATGAGAAATTGCCTCTTATAACCGTCAAAAAAGTTTTTAAAGGTCCTAAGCTTCAACGCGGGAAAAAAGGATAAATGAAGATTGTCAGGAGAGCTATTGCTCACATTTATGACTTTTCGATGTAGGCATTTTTACAGAAAGCTACTTCTGCACAGTTTAGGTGTTTTCATTGGATAGTCAAAATTATTTGAACTAAACAATTTTTTAAAAATCAAGAGTAGTTTGATTATCTTTTACTACCTCTTGACTCTAAAAATGATGAACTTGGCTCTACTTGATTTCTCCTTAT